GACCCCTTCACTCCGCCTAGTGGTGGAGGCCAGCCCTTTAGCGCGGTGTGTGTGTGGAAGGGGTCGAGTCTCCTGGCAGAGGGGGACCTATGTGTCCCGGGTCACAATTCTATAGGCAGTCTCTCTCAGTTCACCCTCAGTTCCCCGTCACCTTGGCGGACAGCGCCGGCGACTGAATGAAACAGGGCCGCCGGAGACCGCCTGGAAACTCAGCAGGAATATCCCTCTTTCTCCCTTTTCCGCTCTTTCGGAGGCGGGGCTTGAGTCGCCGGCTGGGACAGACTGTCCGCAGAGTCAGGAGAAAAAGTGGCTGTGCGCGCTACTCTCCTCCTCGTAGGGCGCGACCAGCTCTGCCGCAGAGGCAGCGGCTAAGACTCAGGCCGTTGCCAGGGCAACAAGCCCCCGTGGTCACAGGCTTTGGGCTCCCCGAATGGCAGCTGCCCACCCACTGCTAGTCAGCCCTGGAGCCGACTGCACCGGGAGGGCATCCGGAGCCGGGGTCTGCCGTTGCCGTCTCCACCGAGCTGCCTCCCAGGACTGCCCGCTGAGCTCGCTGCTCCCCCTACACACGGCGACTCTGGACAGATCCGCTAGAGGACTCTGTGCTGTGTCCCTCCCAGCATCCCTGAACTTTCAGTGATTTCCACGGCAGAGCCTCTTTTATCGAGTTCCCTTCCCCCGATCTAGTCCTGGCGGTCTCCTGTGGCAAGAAGCTGCCTCCAAACTCTCCCCTGTGGGCTCGGACGGCGTGCAATCTGGGGAGCATGCGCTAGGGCCAGTCCCTCCCCTCCGATGCCGACCCAGCGCCCCGCTCCAGCGTGTTCAAAATGGACCCCGCTCCTGTCTTGGTGGACCCCGCTCCTGTCTCGGCTCCCCACCACTTGTCAGTCTGTGCTACCACTTCGCACTGACTTCTGGCACTTCCCTGCCTGTGTGGGAGTGGGGTTTGGCAAAGGAAGGGTCGTCCTCCTGTGAGTCAGATCTCACTGCCAGGGCCAGCCCGCCGCCGGGCGCGGCCATCCCACGCTGCACTTCCCCTTTGCTCCGCACTCTCAGGTATTTGCGGACACTTCTCCAGTTCACCTTTTTTTTCCGCAGCACTGCTTGTCCCTCGTTGCTTCTCTGTAGATTCACTAAGCTGATCCTGCAGGGGAGCGCCTCACTTGCGTGTGGGTGTCCGTGTTCTTCACCTCCCACTCTGGGAGCAGAGAGCCAGGAGGTCACCCCTAATCTGCCATTTTCCTGACCCTGTATTATACTTTTAATCTTCTGGAAAGATGAGTGGAGTAGGAGCAAATCTAATATATTTAGCTACTATTAATATTTATTTTAAAGGTATAGATAGTATAGGTATAGGTATAGATAGTAGGAACAAATAACTTTCTTGTAATAGCAACACAATTCATTAATTAGGTGCTTTCAAGAAGTTAGTGCTTTAAAATGCTAAGGAAAGTTCACAGTAATTTACTACACAGAGTAATTAATGTGAATAGTGTCCTTTGGTTTTAGTCTTAAGCATATTTGATATTTTGTCTTTCCTTACATATATTGAAATTCTTTTAGTCTTTTTCATAATAAAAAGCCTGATTGGTTACTCATAAGCTTTAAACATAGATTTTTATTTTAAAAATGTAAAATTGCCAGTGCCTATTCAATTATGGGGAAATTAATTACCCAATTCTAGGAGGCTTGGAAGAAGAAACATATTTGTTGAACAGCATTTAAAATTTCATTAGATGTTCTGTTAATAGAATACCACTCTGTAATTGCAAAAAAAAAAAAAAAAAAATTACTGGAGGAACCTTGGTAGCTTAAAAGAGTTACAATGTCCAAATTGAGATGAACTTATTTCCTTCTTACTAGCAGCATCAATCCTTAGGATGACTGTCTGAAAAATACCAGCTTGGAATTTAGGGAGACACATTACCTCAATCTCTTGTGCATGGGGCTGGTTAACTTCATTTCCCAGAAAGTCAGTGAAATCTGCAGGCCTGTATTTATTTAATATGGGCTTCGTGACTTTAAAATCTGACTTTGGCAATTCACACATTTCTTCTGAAATGCAAAGGGGGAAATCACTGCGACACAGTTCCAGTTAATCGCTCTTTTTCAACATGATCATGCACATCTGGATGTGTGTCTAGTTTCTACCCTAAGTATTATGTAAGAAGAATGACTGTGAAATATAATTGGGAAAAGATGAGAAGCTGTGTTTCTTTTCTTAGTGAAGATATCACTTAAAATCTCAATAACAAGTACATTTTAGCAAAAAATTTATCTCTTAAAAAATATTTCTTTTTAAATTTCTCTAGTGATAAGGAACACATGCCTTCTTTTTTGGAGCAATTTTAAACAAAGGTATAAATTTTGTTTCCACTAAAATCTAATATACAAAAGGAATATAATAGTTGCCATTCAGTTATGCATTCAAACTATGTTTAGCGAACTTCCACCGTGTCCCAGTCACCATGCTAGCAGCTGGGAAAATAGTCGTGAAGGAACAAAAACACAGGCCCTGGCCTCGTGGAGCTTGCTTGAACAACCAACGTGAATTATTCAGAAAAATTATCATGGAATTAAAAACTATATATATATATGCTCTAAGGAAGGCTTTCCTATGGAAGGGCAAAATGAAAATGGAAAGAAGAAAAATATTTTTCAGTTAAAGGGAAATGTCCAAAGACTCTTTGGTGTAAGAAGACTTGAAAAATTCTAGAAACTACAATAAGCTCCTCTGAGGCAGAGAAAATCATTAAAAGGGATATAACATGAGAGTGGAGAGATAGAAATGGACTCAAGAAACCATGGGTAGCCTTATTGGCTAAACAGGGAGTTCAGCTTTACTCTGAGAACAAAGAAATGCCATTTAAGAATCTTAAAGCAGAGAAAGTCTATTTGCATCTTGGAAAAACTAATCCATGTTTAATGTAAGGAATGGATTGAAAAGCATGAAAAATGGATAAGGAGAGGCCAGTTAGGCTGCTGTAGTATTCCAGTCAAGGGACATAGGTAGTTTGGAGTAGGGCAGTGACAGGGTTCGTAGAAAGAGGAACACAGGTGAGATCTACTTAGGAGGTAACCCTGCCTGTAGTTGGTGATGGATTAGATCTGGAAAGAGAGAGAAGGTACAAGGATGGGTCCTGGGATATTGGCTTGCAAAACTGAATGGCTCAGAGTGCCACTCTCTGAGGTAGAGAATACCTGGAAGCAAATTTACGAGTCCAGTTTTGGATTGAAATGCATAGGTAGAAATGAGAAGACCTGGATATCTGGGTTTGGGGCTCAGAGGAGGGCTATGATATAAATTTAAAATTGTTAATGTATGGGAGGTAATAGAAGCAAAGGCAAGGAGGGGATTGCCCAGGGAAAGAGATGAGGCACTAGGACAAGCTGAGTAGAGGAAGGAGCATGAGCCTGCAAGGACACTAAAAGGTCTGCCAGAGGGAGAGGACAGGCAGCAAGAGAGTGTTTTCTCTCAGACGCCGAGGGAGAGGAAGTTCCTGGGGGTGATCAGTGAAGCTCACTGTAGAAATTGCATCTGATTTGTCAGATTTTTCCAGCTCTCTGCCTACATGGACATGGTAACATCTACCTCCTGGCCCACTGTGGATGGGTGTGATCATGTGTTTAGTTTGGGCTGAAGAGTTGTGAGCAAAAAGGATGTATATCAATTCTGGGCAAGGTTTATAACTGCCTGTATGGAGTTCACCAGGGCTCTCTCTATACCAGGGAACCACTATTCAAATTGGAGGCAGCTCAGAAAGTCAAAGTTCCTGAGCGATTAAGATGAGTGAAAACCTCCCACTAACCCTCAATGGACAGGCAGAGCGAATGAGAAAGAAATATTTGTTGTCACAAGCCCAAGGTTTTGTTGGACTTTGATTTTATTTTATTTTTTGAGTGTAGCACAATGTACACTATTCAGGTGAGTGTTAATAATCTGCTGAGAGATCAGGAAAGAGAAAGATTGAAAAAAAACATGCATTGGATTTAGAAAAATGGCCATAAGAAGAGCTTGATGGAGGGTGAAGTCAGATTAGCAAGGGTGGAAGACTGAGAAGATGAGGAAGCGGACAGCAAGTGTACACAGACAGATTCTGTCACAGAGTTCAGTAAGGTTATCGGAGTTGCTTGAGAGGGATGCAAAAATTTGTTGTTTTTATAGAAAGGGAGAGAATTGAGAGATATATGGATAGGAAGGATCCAGATGAGAGAAAGAGATAAACTATATAAAAAAACCCCAAGAGATAATTGTCGTTAAATGTTTCTTGAACAAACAGGAGTGACAGACTTTGAGAACAGCTAACAGGTGAATTTTTACTAAAAAGTAATCCCCGACTCCTTATAAAGGATCATTTATTGGAACAAAAATATAAATAAATAAATAAATTCTGCAACGAGTAAACAAGGAACAATGGTGAGACCCTTTTTATATTTCATTTACCTCATTCTTCTCTTTTGGTCCCAATAACAACTGCAATAAGAGAAAAAAATCTTGCTTCATTTCTACCCGAATAAGACTGCTGTACATTTAAAATTGGTTCTAAAGTCAAAGTAATCAACTTTTATTTGGGCCATATTACTTAAGCTCTTTCATGGTGTAAGAAATAAAACAATGAGAGTGAAAGGATAGAAGACACATTTAGGGAGCAGAGTCACCGTCACATGTGTACAACCAGGAAGAACTTAAATATAGTTTAGGAGAGATCTCTTTGTTTAAGTCTTCTATAATGTAGGCTCCTTTAAACCATGGATTTGTGTCTGTTTTCTTTTTCACTACAATATACCTGGCTCTTAGAACAGTCCCTGCCACACAGTCAACAGTCAGCAAGTATTTGTCGAATGTAAGAATAACTAACAGCTCACCTTGTCTTGCCCGTACAAAGGGGTGTCTTAATACTTCCTCATTCTGTGATTCTACCATTTCTGTGATTAGCCTTTCTTTTATTCTGCTTTGTTCTCTGTCTGCTTTTACTGCCACGGCCAATCACCAGTCCTCCGCCCTGCTGCTGTCTACTCTCACGATCTCTGAATATTAGTCAGTCAAGCTTTTGACTAGTGTCTGGTTTCTGCTATCTGTCTTGTAAACATGCTTATCTTGATTTTGCACTGCTGCAGAACCCAGACCTTTATTTGAAGTTTCTCATTTGCATACCAAAGAAAGATGATTTGATTGGTTAGCTGGTTGATTACTACGCAACATAGAAATATCCTAAGAGGACATAGCTCTCATGCTAGACTACTTTATAAGGTGACTGTCTCACTGTGTGGCTTTCACATTTGCCCACAGAAAGGAAACAATTTTACCATTTTATATTTGATCCAATATTCAAGCACACACACAGACACACACACTCACACACACACTGAAATTAACAGTTCAAGAAACAACACTGACCCTTTTTAGCTCAAGGCACTCCTATTTATTCTATTCTACTCTATTCATTTCACCCATCCAGTTTCATTCCATTTCCATTTATTCAATTCCACTTTAAATGTTGATAAATTGATCCACAACCCACAAATTGGTCAAACATACAATTTAAAGAAATCCTGGTCTATCTTGTAGATAGTCAACTTGGGGTTGCACATCAATTTTCAATCCAGTAATCTGTGGCCAGGCATCTGTGGTTAGTCAGGGCAGTAGAGTCATATGTTACAGGGCATGAAAAATTTTATCTGTGGCTAGGTTCTTTCGTGAAAAGAGAGCTGTTGTGTAAGAGGCAATCCATATGTCCTCTCTGGTGCAGGCAGATTCCTGCATTTATTCCTGCAAATTTTCCTCTATTTAGTTCTCCCCTTATGCTTTCCCCAATCTCAGCTCTCGTCACAAACTTTTCCCTGCTATAATGCAGATTGATAAATTCTTGCAACGGAACCTCTCTAAGGTATATTTCCATTTCAATATGGTCTCGTGGAACTAATTTAATAAATTGTTCTTGAGAGCAAACCACTTTTGAGACTGAATCTTGTGTTTCTCATAATGAAATAATGGGTGACAGCCCAGAGGCAGGGGATATTTTGGGGACTCTGGGACTTTCTTTATGCCTCTTCAA